CAATGGAAAACGTTTTTCTTGTTAACCCTGTTGGCATGACATGTCAAACGTTTTCTGTAAGTCTTCACAAGGTTTTCACACACTGTTGCTGGTATTTTGGCCCATTCCTCCATGCAGATCTCCTCTAGAGCAGTGATGTTTTGGGGCTGTCGCTGAGCAACACAGACTTTCAACTCCCTCCAAAGATTTTCTATGGGGTTGAGATCTGGAGACTGGCTAGGCCACTCCAGGACCTTGAAATGCTTCTTACGAAGCCACTCCATCGTTGCCCGGGCGGTGTGTTTGGGATCATTGTCATGCTGAAAGACCCAGCCACGTTTCATCTTCAATGCCCTTGCTGATGGAAGGAGGTTTTCACTCAAAATCTCACGATACATGGCCCCATTCATTCTTTCCTTTACACGGATCAGTCGTCCTGGTCCCTTTGCAGAAAAACAGCCCCAAAGCATGATGTTTCCACCCCCATGCTTCACAATAGGTATGGTGTTCTTTGGATGCAGCTCAGCATTCTTTGTCCTCCAAACACGACGAGTTGAGTTTTTACCAAAAAGTTCTATTTTGGTTTCATCTGACCATATGACATTCTCCCAATCCTCTTCTGGATCATCCAAATGCACTCTAGCAAACTTCAGATGGGCCTGGACATGTACTGGCTTAAGCAGGGGGACACGTCTTGCACTGCAGGATTTGAGTCCCTGGCGGTGTAGTGTGTTACTGATGGTAGGCTTTGTTACTTTGGTCCCAGCTCTCTGCAGGTCATTCACTAGGTCCCCCCGTGTGGTTCTGGGATTTTTGCTCACCGTTCTTGTGATCATTTTGACCCCACGGGGTGAGATCTTGCGTGGAGCCCCAGATCGAGGGAGATTATCAGTGGTCTTGTATGTCTTCCATTTCCTAATAATTGCTCCCACAGTTGATTTCTTCAAACCAAGCTGCTTACCTATTGCAGATTCAGTCTTCCCAGCCTGGTGCAGGTCTACAATTTTGTTTCTGGTGTGCGAGCGGGCGAGCGGTTTGCTGATGCCAACGTTGTGAACAGAGTGCCCCATGGTGGCAGTGGGGTTATGTTATGGGCAGGCATAAGCTACGGACAACGAATACAATTGCATTTTATCGATGGCAATTTGAATGCACAGAGATACCGTGACGAGATCCTGAGGCCCATTGTCACGCCATTAATCCGCTGCCATCACCACATTTTTCATCATGATAATATACGATCTCATGTCGCAAAGATCTGTACGCAATTCTTGGAAGCTGAAAATGTACCAGTTCTTCCATTGCCTGCATACTCACCAGACATGTCACCCGTTGAGCATGTTTGGTATGCTCTGGATCAATGTGTACAACAGTGTGTTCCAGTTCCCGCCAATATCCAGCAACTTCGCACAGCCATTGAAGAGGAGTGGGACAACGTTCCACAGGCCACTGTCAACAGCCTGATCAACTCTATGAGAAGGAGATGTGTTGCACTGCATGAGGCAAATGGTGGTCACACCAGATACTGACTGGTTTTCTGATCGACACCCGTAGGAGCGTTGGGCCAGTAACCAAAAGGTTGCTGGATCGAATCCCCGAGCTGACAAGGTAAAAATATGTCATTCTGCCCCTGAGCAAGGCAGTTAACCCGCTGTTTCCCGGGCGCCGATGATTTTGACCCCATGGGGTGAGATCTTGCGTGGAGCCCCAGATCGAGGGAGATTATCAGTGGTCTTGTATGTCTTCCATTTCCTAATAATTGCTCCCACAGTTGATTTCTTCAAACCAAGCTGCTTACCTATTGTAGATTCAGTCTTCCCAGCCTGGTGCAGGTCTACAATTTTGTTTCTGGTGTCCTTTGACAGCTCTTTGGTCTTGGCCATAGTGGAGTTTGGAGTGTGACTGTTTGAGGTTGTGGACAGGTGTCTTTTATACTGATAACATTTACATTACATTTTAGTCATTTAGCAGACACTCTTATCCAGAGCGACTTACAGTTAGTGAATACATATTTTTATTAAAAAAATATTTATTTTTTTTATACTGGCCCCCCGTGGGAATCGAACCCACAACCCTGGCGTTGCAAACGCCATTCTCTATCAACTGAGCTACATCCCTGCCGGCCATTCCCTCCCCCACCCTGGACGACGCTGGGCCAATTGTGCGCCGCCCATGAGTCTCCCGGTCGCGGCCGGCTGCGACAGAGCCTGGATTCGAACCAGGATCTCTAGTGGCACAGTTAGCACTGCAATGCAGTGCCTTAGACCACTGCGCCACTCAGGATAACAAGTTCAAACAGGTGCCATTAATACAGGTAACGAGTGGAGGACAGAGGAGCCTCTTAAAGAAGTTACAGGTCTGTGAGAGCCAGAAATCTTGCTTGTTTGTAGGTGACCAAATACTTATTTTCCACCATAATTTGCAAATAAATTCATTCAAAATCCTACAATGTGATTTTCTGGAGAAAAAAAATCTCAATTTGTCTGTCATAGTTGACGTGTACCTATGATGAAAATTACAGGCCTCTCTCATCTTTTTAAGTGGGAGAACTTGCACAATTGGTGGCTGACTAAATACTTTTTTTCCCCACTGTATATATATATATACACTACCGTTCAAAAGTTTGGCGTCACTTAGAAATGTCCTTGTTTTCGAAAGAAAAGCAATTTTTTGGTCCATTAAAATAACATCAAATTGATCAGAAATACAGTGTAGACATTGTTAATGTTGTAAATGGCTATTGTAGCTGGAAACGGCTGATTTTTTATGGAATATCTACATAGGCGTACAGAGGCCCATTATCAGCAACCATCAGTCCTGTGTTCTTTGCAACTCTGCCTAGATCAGCATCCCGGAGTCGCCTCTTCACTGTTGACGTTGAGACTGGTGTTTTGCGGGTACTATTTAATGAAGCTGCCAGATGAGGACCCGTGAGGCGTCTGTTTCTCAAACTAGACACTCTAATGTATTTGTCCTCTTGCTCAGTTGTGCACCGGGGCCTCCCACTCCTCTTTCTATTCTGGTTAGAGCCAGTTTGCGCTGTTCTGTGAAGGGAGCAGTACACAGCGTTGTACGAGATCTTCAGTTTCTTGGCAATTTCTCGCATGGAATAGCCTTAATTTCTCAGAACAAGAATAGACTGACGAGTTTCAGAAGAAAGTTATTTGTTTCTGGCCATTTTGAGCCTGTAATCGAACCCACAATTGCTGATGCTCCAGATACTCAACTAGTCTCAAGAAGGCCAGTTTTATTGCTTCTTTAATCAGCACAACAGTTTTCAGCTGTGCTAACATAATTGCAAAAGGATTTTCTAATGATCAATTAGCCTTTTAAAATGATACAATTGGATTAGCAAACACAACGTGCCATTGGAACACAGGACTGATGGTTGCTGATAATGGGCCTCTGTGCGCCTATGTAGATATTCCATTAAAAATCAGCCGTTTCCAGCTACAATAGCCATTTACAACATTAACAATGTCTACACTGTATTTCTGATCAATTTGATGTTATTCTAATGGACAAAAAAAAAAAAAAAAATCGAAAACAAGGACATTTCTAAGTGACTATTATTACTTTACTTTTTGCTCAATCTGATTGGATGGGCCTGGCTCCCCAGTGTGTGCACCCAGGCCCATCCGTGTCTACACCCCTGGTTTTAATGCATCTCACTGCTGGAACAATTTACAAAACTCATTACAATTGGATGTTCTGGTGCTGCTCGGCGAATATAAAGTGTTGATTGAGAAGCTAGTAGCTGAGCAATGTAACAGTTTTTCTTAAATCTGCAGTTTTTTTAATTTTACATTACTGTTTTGTTTCACATTGTATTTGATTGTTGCTTTATGGTGATCGGGGCACCCTTGAGAATGACAGGCCCTTGTCTCAATGGGTTTCCCTGATTAAATAAATAATAAATACAAATAAATGACCTGAACAAATTGTCACGACCTTGATTATTGTTGCGGTTAATTTACTAATTAATGTATTGTATTTACCAAATTATTCATCCCAAAAAAGACAGTGACAGTAAACTAGAGACAAGGAATTGATTTTACTTGACATTTTGGAACTGTCCGCTCCTGCTGCTGTCGGCAAACCAAGACCCTGGGTCCGCCTCCTTTCTGACAAGAACTCCAGTTGGTCAGTTGGCCTGTTTTTTATTATAATTAACCAATAATATTATCATAAAGTTATTGTACAAGCGCAGTATAAACAATTTCTCAATGCCCATTGGTTTATAAAAATTACCCACCAACCCATACGTCAAGAAAAAATGTTTTCCCGCCCACTCACTCCACAAGGAACAAGGTGACTCAAGACTAGAGTGGAAATTTGGAAAACACTTTTTCCCTCGACAGGAAGTCTCTCGTAAGTATTTTTTGATTTTATTGTTTTAAATCAAATTCGATCTACTAACTTTGCTATTACTTACCCTTCGCTACTGACAATAACTCAGTGATACTTTGTTTGACTCGTTATTAACCAACTGTCTACGTTCAAAACGCCTTGGATAAGAAGTTTCGCTAACTATCCAGTAGTTAGCTACAGTAGCTAGTTAGTTTAGCTAACGTAATGTCAGCTAGCTAACATTTAACGTTAGCCAACCAACTAACATAACTAAGCTTGCTTACAGAATAATATAGTAGAGGGATATGTCAGGAGAATCAAAGGTTCAAAACCTAGCTAAATTGTTTGTCACGCGATTGGTATTTCCAGAAAATCATGGCTTTCGTCCCTAACCGGCCATGCTTAGCCAGTTAGCTTCACACAGCAACATGCTAGTTTGCAAGCCAGAGAGGCCGGCGAGTTGTCTTACAACGTTACACTAGACCGATCATGACTCTCAGTAACATTACATTACACCAGTGGCGATTTTAGCATGTAAATCTTGATTGGGGGAGGGGGGTTGCTTGCCAACAAAGCCACAACACTAAACAATACATTAATTGCACTATAACGGTGACAAACGGTGCCCACAAACTGTTAGGGCCTACATAAAGCTGTCCCAACACCTTACCACTGCTACACCTGGCTATCAGCGGAGCCTTGTCTGGCAGCGAAACAGTTAATTCAACCTCATTTATGCCTTTAAAAAAAACAGCTGATATGGCTGACTTGCTTAAACAAATGTGGTTTCTACTGACAATTGAGATCAAATCACATTTTGTTTGTCACATACACGTGTTTAGCAGATGTTATTGCGGGTGTAGCGAAATGCTTATGCTTCTAGCTCCGACAGTGCAGTAATATCTAACAAGTAATATCTAACAATTTCACAACATATACCCAATACACACAAATCTAAGTAAGGAATGGAATTTAAGTATATATACATATATGGACAAGCAATGATAGAGCGGCATGGACTAAGATGCAGTAGAATATTATAGAATGCAGTATATACATATGAGATGAGTAGTGCAAGATATGTAAACATTATTAAAGTGACTAGTGTTCCATTTCTTAAAGTGGCCAGTGATTACAATAGGCAGCAGCAGCCTCTGTGCTAGTGATGGCTATTTAACAGTCTGATGGCCTTGAGATAGAAGCTGTTTTTCATTCTCTCGGTCCCAGCTTTGATGCTCCTGTACTGACCTCGCCTTCTGGATGATAGCGGGGTGAACAGGCAGTGGCTCGGGTGGTTGATGTCGTTGATGATCTTTTTGGCCTTTCTGTGACATCGGGTGCTGTAGGTGTCCTGGAGGGCGGGTAGTTTGCCCCCGGTGATGTGTTTGGCAGACCGCTCCACCCTCTGGAGAGCCCTGTGGTTGCGGGCGGTGCAGTTGCCGTACCAGGCGGTGATACAGCCCGACAGGATGCTCTCAATTGTGCATCTGTAAAGGTTTGTGAGGGCTTTAGGTGCCATGCCAAATTTCTTTAGCCTCCTGAGGTTGAAGAGGCTCTGTTGCGCCTTCTTCATCACACTGTCTGCGTGGGTGGACCATTTCAGTTTGTCAGTGATGTGTATGCCAATGAACTTGAAGCTTTCCACCTTCTCCTCTGTGGTCCTGTCGATGTGGATAGGGGGGGGGGGGGGTGCACCCTCTGCTGTTTCCTGAAGTCCACGATCATCTCCTTTGTTTTGTTGACGTTAAGTGAGAGGTTATTTTTCTGGCACCACACTCCCAGAGCCCTCACCTCCTCCCTGTAGGCTGTCTCGTCATTGTTAGTAATCAAGCCTACTACTGTTGTGTCATCTGCAAACTTGATGATTGAGTTGGAGGCGTGCTTGGCCACGCAGTCATGGGTGAACAGGGAGTACAGGAGGGGGCTGAGCACCCACCCTTGTGGGGCCCCAGTGTTGAGGATCAGCGAAGTGGAGATGTTGTTTCCTACCTTCACCACCTGGGGGTGGCCCGTCAGGAAGTCCAGGACCCAGTTGCACAGGGCGGGGTTCAGACCCAGGGCCTCGAGCTTAATGATGAGCTTGGAGGGTACTGTGGTGTTGACTGCTGAGCTGTAGTCAATGAACAGCTTTCTTACATAGGTATTCCTCTTGTCCAGATGGGATAGGGCAGTGTGCAGTGTGATGGCGATTGCATCGTCTGTGGATCTATTGGGGCGGTAAGCAAATTGTAGTGGGTCTAGGGCAGGGTTCTTCAATTCCGGTCCTGGAGGGCCGAAACACTTCTATTTTTTATTTCTACCTGGTAGTTAATTGCACTCACCTGGTGTCCCAGGTCTGAATTAGCCCCTGATTAGAAGGAGAGGATGAAAAACAGAGGTGTTTCGGCCCTCCAGGACCGGAATTGAAGAACCCTGGTCTAGGGTGACAGGTATGGTAGAGGTGATATGATCCTTGACTAGTCTCTCAAAGCACTTCATGATGACAGAGGTGAGTGCTACGGGGCGGTAGTCATTTAGTTCAGTTACCTTTGCTTTCTTGGGTACAGGAACAATGGTGGGCATCTTGAAGCATGTGGGGACAGAAGACTGGGATAGGGAGAGACTGAATATGTCCGTAAACACACCAGCCAGCTGGTCTGCGCATGCTCTGAGGACACGGCTAGGGATGCCATCTGGGCCGGCAGCCTTGCAGGGGATAACATGCTTAAATGTCTTACTCACGTCGGCCATGGAGAAGGACAGGCCACAGTCCTTGGTAGTGGGCCTCGTCGGTGGCACTGTGTTATCCTCAAAGCGGGCGAAGAAGGTGTTTAGCTTGTCTGGAAGCGAGACGTCGGCGACGTGGCTGGTTTTCCTTTTGTAGTCTGTGATTGTTTGTAGACCCTGCCACATACGTCTCGTGTCTGAGCCGTTGAATTGTGACTCCACTTTGTCTCTATACTGATGTTTTGCCATTTTAATTGCCTTGCGGAGTGAGTAGCAGCACTGTTTGTATTCTGCCATATTCCCAGTCACCTTGCCATGGTTAAATGCGGTGGTTCGCGCTTTCAGTTTTGCGCGAATGCTGCCATCTATCCACGGTTTCTGGTTAGGGTAGGTTTTAATAGTCAGTGGGCACAACATCACCTATACACTTCCTGATAAACTCAGTCACCGTTTCATTGTATTCGTCTAAATTATTTTCGCAAGCTACCCGGAACATATCTCAGTCCGCGTGATCAAAACAATCTTGAAGCGTGGATTCCGATTGGTCAGACCAGCGTTGAATAGTCCTTAGCACGGGTACTTCCTGTTTGAGTTTCTACTTATAGGAAGGGAGGAGCAAAATGGAGTCGTGGTCAGATTTGCCGAAAGGAGGGCGGGGGAGGGCCTTATAACCATCCTGGAAGTTCGAATAGCAATGGTAGAGGATTTTAGCAGCCCGTGTACAACAATCGATATGTTGATAGAACTTCGGCAGCCTAGTCCTCAAATTTGCTTTGTTAAAATCCCCGGCTACAATAAATGCAGACTCAGGATATGTGGTTTCCAGTTTGCATAAAGTCCAGTGAAGTTCTTTGAGGGCTGTCGTGGTATCGGCTTGAGGGGGGGATATACACGGCCGTGACTATAACTGAAGAAAATTCTCTTGGGAGATAATACGGTCGGCATTTGATTGTGAGGTATTCTAGGTCGGGTGAAAAAAAAGGACTTGAGCTCCTGTATGTATTTACAATTACACCATGAGTTGTTAATCATGAAACACACACCTCTGCCCTTCTGCTTCCCGGAGAGATATTTATTTCTGTCTGCGCGATGAACTGAGGACCCATCTGTCTGGACCGATTTCGACAGAATATCCCCAGAGAGCCATATTTCCATGAAACAAAGTATGTTACAGTCCTTCATGTCGCTCTGGAAAGAAATCCTTGCCCTGAGCTTGTCGACCTTGTTATCCAAAGACTTAACATTAGCGAGTAGTATACTTGGAAGTGGTGGGTGGTGTGCGCGCCTCCTAAGTCAAACCAGCAGGCCGCTCCGAGTGCCTCTCCTCCGCCGGCGATGTTTTGGGTCAGCCGCTGGAATCAGTTCAATTGCCCCGGGGAGAGCAAACAAAGGATCTGCTTCGGGAAAGTCGTATTCCTGGTCGTAATGCTGGTGAGTTACTGCCGCTCTGATATCCATTAGTTTTTCCCGGCTGTATGTAATGATACAAAACACTTTCTGAGCTAATAATGTAAAAAATAATACATAAAATAACAAGCTAGCGTGGTTACACGTGGTCTGCGGTTGTGAGGCCGATTGGACCTACTGCCAAATTCTCTAAAACGACGAGTCAGCTTATGGTAGAGAAATTAACATTTAAGTCTCTGGCAACAGCTCTGGTGGACATTCCTGCAGTCAGCATGCCAATTGCATTCTCCCTCAACTTGAGACATCTGTGGCATTGTGTTGTGTGACTAAAACTGCACGTTTTAGTGGCCTTTTATTGTCCCCAGCACAAGGTGCACCTGTGTAATGATCATGCTGTTTAATCAGCTTCTTGAGATGCTACAACTGTCAGGTGGATGGATTATCTTGGCAAAGGACATTTAAGCGAAATAAGCATTTTTTGCATATGGAAAATGTCTGGGATCTTTTATTTCAGCTCATGAAACATGGGACCAACGCTTTACATGTTGAGTTTTATATATGTTTTCAGTGTTGTATGAATACAAAAATAAGTCTGATGGCTAGGATAAAAACAAACACATTTAGAATATCAGGAGCAAGGCCAAAATATATCACAACACTAACTACAGGTATTTCCTCCCCTGTTTGTCTTCCTGTTGTTTCCCCAGACTACCTCACAGAGAAGATGCTTTCTTGCGGACTACTGTACAACTGCCTATGTGAAACACATCGATAGAATGAGTAAAGAAAGTACAAGGATAGAAATGGACCTGGTATGTGCTTTGATTTTTTCCCATACCACAGTCATGGTCTGACCAAATATTATTAGCCCAAAGGCTGGCAGATGGCGATATTGAGTCGTTTTAATTTTACCATCCAAATGCATTGTATGCACCAGCAATACATTCATATCCCTTGTGAACCGGTTCGTACTTAAATCATTCTCCATTCAGGCTGCATAGGCTTATATTTCCTCCTTAACTTTATTTAATGGCAAGAAGGCTGAGAAAAACGGGGAAAATATGTGTACCGCCACCATGCTAGAGTGGCTAAATGCTAATCCTGGATGTTGTGTATCAGGTTGCAGCAGTCAGTTTTTTCACCCCTAACCTAAGGCAGTGCTGTATCGCATTAGTGAAAACCAAGACTGTTCTCAGGGTGGGGCTGCCGGTTTTGGCTAGCAGAAGTGACTTTTCGTAGCAGGTTAGAAGAACTTGCGCAACAGGTTAGGATAATTAATGTGGCAGGTTACAATAATTATGTTAAGGTTAGGTAAAGGTTTAGTTTGCTAAAATTTTCCCAGACGCGATTCAAACATATTTAGCTACAACCAGGGCTGCCCTGAGAACAGTCTTGGTGTCCACTAATGCGATGCAGCTAATAGTTTCAACCTGATTGGCTGAACGCAATACATTTTACATTTACATTTTAGTCATTTAGCAGACGCTCTTATCCAGAGCGACTTAGTTAGTGAGTGCATACATTTTTCATACTGGCCCCCCGTGGGAATCGAACCCACAACCCTGCCGTTGCAAGCTCCATGCTCTACCAACTGAGCTACAGGAGGGCTAGCAACATCCGGGATTAGCATTTAGCCAATTTAGCATGGTGGTGGGAAATGGTGTTTCATAAGGAAGGTATGCGTATTTTCCCTTTATTTTTATATTTGTATAAAAAAACAAATATGCCTTCTCGCCATTAAATAAAGTTAAGGAGGAAATATAAGCCTATGCAGCCTGAATGGAGAAGGATTTAAGTAGGAACCGGTCCGAATGTATTGCTAATTTGGACGGTAAGATGAAACAACTCAATATCGCCATCTGCCGGCCTTTGGGCTAACCAGATGTCATCTCAACTGTCACTCATCAGACGGTGTAGCAACTACAATATACCCAGAAGTAGAGGAGGACTGAAGACATTGTTGAAGCGTCTTGAGATCACAATAGTATCCAATCCATGTTGTTAAATCTTGTCCTCATGGCACTTCCACTATACTGCACTTCTACTATACTGTCTTTATTATAATAATAATAATATGCCATTTAGCAGACGCTTTAATCCAAAGCGATTTACAGTCATGCGTGCATACATTTTTTGTGTATGGGTGGTCCCGGGGATCGAACCCACTACCTTGGCGTTACAAGCGCCGTGCTCTACCAGCTGAGCTACAGAGGACCACCCATACACAAAGGCATGATTTAATTGTGATGTACCCATTATCTTGATATTCTTGATTCTAGTACTTAACCATAGGCCTATGTGTTTATTTTGACAGGCCTTTGGCTTTTCAGGCAAGGCGTATGGCTCCTCAAGGAGTATTGTGAGAAGAATAGCCACCAATCTTCCCCTTAAACCATGCCCCAGGGTCCATTTTCAGGTAAGACTATTTCTGCAGGAGGCAGGCATATAATATGTTAGCTAACATGAACTAAAAGTAATATAATATTCTTTGTAGACTGTCTGCAGCCATACTTTGACAGAGTATGATCTGTGTTTGACATTGTTTCCATGTGACATTGTTTCCGTGTCGTCACTATTTCTGTGTCACTGCTCTTTACCTTGTACTCAAGTATCGCGTTATCTTGGTATTCTCTGACCTGATGTATTGTGATACACCTGCATCTTCGTTTGTTTTGATGCTTCAACTATAAACAGAATGGAAAACATAATGAGACCAATAACATGGACCTAGGTTCTGATTTCATGTTTAGGGAAGTTAGGCTATGTTGCTCCTCTTTGGTGATAAAATATCATAGTGCCTTTTTAATGTTTAGATTTGAAAATAAGTCTGATCCATTTGTGTCTTTTTTTGCATTAGAAAGTTACAGCTACACAGAACACAACAGTTCTGTGGTTTTCAATTCTTATTTAGGTAGAGTCATGCTATCATTGCCCTGCTCAATCTTTACATTCCCTTTTCCTGTCTTGCAATACTGTTTTTTCACTTCTTTTCCTCTCTCTCTCCCTTTAGCTGTCCTTCCTTTCTGTGAGGAATGCAGTATGTCTGCTTTAGGTCAGTTCATCAGGCAACCTACAACAGTAACTTTGTGCTGTTGACTAATGTCTGGTACATACACACACACACACACACACACAAACACACATACAGTATACACACACTACATTACCAAAAGTATGTGGCCACCTGCTCGTCGAACATCTCATTCCAATATCATGGGCATTACTATGGAGTTGGTCCTCCCTTTGCTGCTATAACAGCCTCCACTCTTCTGGGAAGGCTTTCCACTAGATGTTGGAACATTGCTGCGGGGACTTGCTTCCATTCAGCCACAACAGCATTAGTGAGGTCGGGCATTGATATTGGGCGATTAGGCCTGGCTCGCAGTCGGTGTTCCAATTCATCCCGATGGGGTTGAGGTCAGGCCAGTCAAGTTCTTCCACACCGATCTCGAAAAACCATTTCTGTATGGACCTTGCTTTGTGCACGGGGGCATTGTCATGCTGAAACGGCAAAGGGGCTTACCCAAACTGTTGTCACGAAGTTGGAAGCACAGAATTGTCTAGAATGTCATTGTATGCTGTAGCATTAAGATTTCCCTTCACTGGAACTAAGGGGCCTAGCCCAAACCGTGAAAAACAACCCCAGACCATTATTCCTCCTCCACCAAACTTTACAGTTGGCACTACGCATTCAGGCAGCTAGCGTTCTCCTGGCATCCGCCAAACCCAGATTAGTCCGTCGGACTGCCAGATGGTGAAGCATGATAAATCACTCCAGAGAACGTGTTTCCACTTCTCCAGAGTCCAATGGCGGCGAGCTTTACACCACTCCAGCCGACGCTTGGCATTGCCCATGGTGATCTTAGGCTGGTGTGCGGCTGCTCGGCCATGGAAACCCATTTCATGAATCTCTAGACTAACAGTTATTGTGCTGACGTTGCTTCCAGAGGCAGTTTGGAACTCGGTAGTGAGTGTTGCAACCGGGGACAGACGATTTTTACGCGCTTCAGCACTTGGTCCTCTTATTAGGACTGTGTCCCCTGAAATGTATCAACTGTCTTTATTTTTTATTTCTTACCTTTTCTATGACTTTAAGCTCCTGTTGAGTTGAGGGACAGAATAAGAATAGATCTCGACAGGCTGTTGACAGACGGCATAATTAAGAATAGATCTCGACAGGCTGTTGACAGACGGCATAATTAAGAATAGATCTCGACAGGCTGTTGACAGACGGCATAATTAAGAATAGATCTCGACAGGCTGTTGACAGACGGCATAACTAAGAATAGATCTCGACAGGCTGTTGACAGACGGCATAACTAAGAATAGATCTCGACAGGCTGTTGACAGACGGCATAACTAAGAATAGATCTCGACAGGCTGTTGACAGACGGCATAACTAAGAATAGATCTCGACAGGCTGTTGACAGACGGCATCAGAATGGCTTTCTTCAGTTGCTGTCTTGTGCACTATTTCTAAAAGTCAACCGTAGCCAATCAAATGTCTGTCAGGGTAGGTTTCCAAGTAGTGTGAATGCAGTTTGATTCATAAAAAGAGAATACCTCACGTGGTTAAACAGGACCGTGTAGTTGAGTTGTTGACAGTGTATTGAGTAATTGTGGCAGGCTCCTCTGGTGAGGAGAATGTTTTGGTGTATTTATTAACATGGCTGCCTTGTGTCTCAGCTCAATTCTTACACTGAGGAAAGTAGTGTCCTGAACAGCGCCGGGATTCCGACTGGACTGGTGGCCTCTCTGGTCGATGTCGGCTGGATCGACGAGGAGGAAAATGACTGGTTTGGATTTGGGAGAGTGAGGTAAGAAGCTGTGATGCTGCCCCTGTTTATTGACCCACACACTGTGCTCATTAGGGAGTCCATTTGCGCTTGTTAACTTTCCACATTTGTATTACTCCATGAATCTCTTTCCTGCTTCTAATAAGGTGCTTGTATACCATTGGTCTCGTTCAGGTCAGAGGCACCATCAGGGCTCATGTTCCGTTCTCACCCACCTCAGCCCAAACAACAACCTTTGCCCAGACGGAGGTCATTACCCAGCCTGCACAAGGCCAAGCCGGAGCCCCAGGGTCAGACCCGCAGCAACGATGAGGCCATCCAGAAGATCAGTGCTCTGGAGACGGAGCTGGCTAAACTCAGAGCCCAGATCGCACAGATAGTACTGACCCAGGAGCAGAACACACTGACACCAGGTATGGGAGCGAGACCTCAGAACACACACACACACAAAAAGGTAAGGAAGAATCCTCAGAACACAAACATAAAGCGCTACCTCATAGCCCCTTAATTTGTTGGGTAAGATAGTTCCATGTTTTCCACTGTAATTACCTATATCTGCCTGAAGATGGGAGCTTTTCATGGAATAATTGTCAGACTAATCTGTACATTTCTCAGCCCCAGGTGGTCCTCCTGCCCCAGGCGGCCCTCCTCCTCCACCCTGTGTCCCTCCGCCTCCCCCGCCGCCTCCTCCCCCTCCTCCACCCCCACTCATTGGTCTCCAGCGGAGCTTCTCAGTCATTGACCTCATCCAGGAGCGCCGTGGGAAGAAGACTCCGGGCCAGGCACTGCTGGACCAGGGGCCCAAGCAGGTAGAGGTCCCCAATATGCTGGACGTGCTCAAAGACATCGGCAAAGTCAAGCTGCGCCCCGCCAAGAGGTGGGCACCATGTTCATGGTCTGACTTCTACATTACAGAAGATGGACACAACTGTCTTGTTTTACTAACTGAAACCTGTACTGATTTCCAGCTAAACATTGATTTACCCTTACTCCCTGTGTGTTACTGTCCAGCCGGCCAGAGGAGAGCCAAGCCAAACCCAGTGAGCCCACAGATGCTGCGTCTCTCATCGCTAATGCCCTGAAGCGCAAGTTCGCCCATCGCTATCGCCACAACAGCAATGAGGACAATGAGTTTGACTTCCCAGCCTCTGAACTGAAACCTTTCTGTTCTGAATTCCCCAAGACCGACAAGAAAGTAGAGATTCCCCTGGTAAGAGCAACACTGATACTACATTACTCTCTTATGTTAGGAATCCCCATTTTGGGTCTTATCATTTTCAAACTACACTGTATGATTGTGCAACAACAAAGATGGGTAAAACCTTAGATCTGTGAAGTTCTGGCTATTGTGTGTCTGGGTTGTCCGTTGCTTACCTTTCTCGTCCTCTAGGTAAGGCAGCCCCGGTTGAAAACCCCAGCCCCTGTAGTGAAACCACGCCCAGAGACCCCCCTGGTAAGAGAAGTGCAAGCATGACTAAAATAGGTATCTGATCTAATATTTGATGAGTTTGAAAAGTCATTTGCTGCTCTCTCTCTTTTCCCATCCTGTAGTTTGGACAGCACATGTTGAAATCTACTGGCAAGCGAAATCTCCTCTGAGCACCCACAGAGATGGGCTGGAATTCTGGACTTGGTCAGAGTTCTGGACCGTCAGACAGCCATGGACATTTAAGTGCCTTATCAACCGGTGTGTCAGCAGTCTCTGGATGGACACCGGGTTTCTGACTAGATATGCAGTCAATCTGCTCTCCATTCCTGCTCACCAACAGTGTTGCATTGCCTCATAGTCTTCTTCAGTTCTTGCACTTTGATAACATACAGGATCCGTTTCCGTGTACCACAGATTTTAACTTTTTGTTTGAATTAAATGTCTATTTTTGTCTCTTAGTTGACTGCATTTTCAAAGTCTTTGATCTTAAAGGTCCAAGTTTGTTCATCAGACTTTCTGTACATCTTGATATTTTATTTGAATCAAAACTAAATTACAATATGAGGCACACCAGTGTTTTATGTTCTGGATAAACACTCTGTAACACTACAGAATCCTAACTTTCTCTCAACTGACAACTGTTAATAACTACATGTATTTATGGGAATGAACCTTCTCTAAATGCACATAGATGTAAATGGTTATCCTTTTTGCATGCCCTTTTCAAGGCAGTTGTATTTATCTTTGTCTCACTGGGTATTTGCTGTCTACTGCTTGCTATGGGTAGAGAGAAATGTATGCAGAGGAGTGGGAGCACTTTGTCATTTGGTCCCTCTTGTAGAGTATTAGGCTGTTTTTGTAAATTGCATTCTAGTCAATCTAATTTATGATTTTTAGAACACTTATTTATGTTTAGTTTGAACTGAATTTAGAGTTAATACTTGATACAAATAATTATGTTGTAGCTGTTATCAATGCTATCAAAGCAAGTATGGTTGAGATGTAATTGTATTTGTTTCGTTTTAGACTGGCTCTCTTTTTGCTTTAATAAGTTGAACGGGAACCAGTTCTGGAAACCCTGTTACCATACAGTACCTCAGTATGAAGACTGGACCAAACTAATCTATGGTGACAGTGTTGTCTTAATGCATTCTGGGGGGGAGAGGAAGAGAAATATGCTAGTGTTTGACTAAAGCTGTAACACTAGGATAATCTACCAATACTGGGCAGGATGTTGACATTTTTTTTGTTCCAATGTGTGTATTCGAGAACCATGGCATTATTATTCAGTTGTATTTTGTTATATGATTCGAAGCCAAATATAAGACAAATGGCATTCTGGGAGGTAGTGTTACTCAACAACAAGCTGAGTGTATTGCTCTTTTTATATCCTTATGATGCCTTGAAACAATTTTCCTTAGTATCATATCAAATATTTCATACCGTGAAGAGTTCCTCTTGGATATATTCTGATAGTTAAGAATGTCATACTTTATATTTTTTGTGGAATTAAAGGTGTCTGCACACCTTGACACAGATATAGCATTATTGAAATGGCATGACAGATATGACTGTTTGGGCGGGAAACAGTATTTAGGATACATCTAACACTAACATGTATGATTGTGGTTTATTTATCTTTAGAAGATGAGGAATGGCCAGTGTGTTTATCATTGACATACTCTATGTACCGATATCTATTTCCTGCTCAGTGTGTCTAAGCGTTGAACTTTGGCATGGTGGGAGAATTATAAGGGAACATGGACAACTCAACTGTCAGTGATACTTGATGTAAAACCTAACTGTAAAACACTAGGGATCTGTGTTGTGAAATGTCTTCCATACTTGAAAGAAAGTTATGTAAACAGACTGGAATCATCAAATTCATGAATAAAACCGAAATGAAACTTGGTTTGGTGTGAGCTTGAAATATGAGACTTGTGTGCATGGAATGTTTGTCCAATTCTTAATTTCACCAAGATATGTCTCGGGTAAATAGAAAGTGGAATCTTTACACAGCCTGAGCACAGTAAATCCAACCATAGATATTGAGGTTGAACAGTGAATGACTACAGCTCATTCTGTTCATGTCCTCAGGAGGGTAATATGCCATTTAGCAGATGCTTTTATCCAAAGCGACTTAGTCATCTGTGCATACATTTTATGTATGGGAATCGAACCCACTACCCTGGCGTTACAAGCGCCATGCTCTACCAACTGAGCTACAAAGGACCAACGAACGGTACACAACGTTCCTATATAAATGTATGACGTACAACAAGCCTGTGATGTAAGATATATTCCTTACATTTCTAGCTACAATGTTGAGGGTTTCACCTCAATACATCCCTGTATATGACTCCTACCACGGTCAAAGTTCACTTGGATCATTGTCAATAACTAACAGTCGTTTATGTCAACTGGTTTTATTAAATCAAAATGTAACTGCAACAAGCATGTATCAAAAGACCAATACGGCAAATCCTTTACAAAATGGCTTGACAAGTCTTCTTCCCAAAATGGCTTTCGTGACGAATTGTAAACAGTTTATCAACAGTCTTACAGCGTAAATACTAATCAGCTAAGTTAGGAAAAAGCACCTGCTATCGTTCAAATCTTTGTGCAGTCTACAGAATCAATAAAAAATAAATACATGTAAATGGAATGTACAAAATTAAAAACACGGTTTGGTTTTCCGTATGTAAAAAGGGTTGAGTTCAGTTTTTCCTCACAACAAAAGGCAAAAGAAAATCAGACAGTGCATTAAGAGGATGAGCACGCGATGTACTTAATGAGATTACTAGAAGAACTAGTAGCAGGAGCTGGTTTGGTCACTTAGCGCAGTGTGCATAGTTATAAGGCATCGGTACAGCAGTCCTCCTAGGTTGCATGTGGCTATGATGAGGATGATGAGATGGAGTCCATTTAGTAGAAGTAAACAGATGTTTAACAGGTAGCTAAACCACATCAGTAAACTTCCCTCCTACAGTCCACCCTCTCCCTCGAGATAGAGATTGGCAAAACCCTGAGAGAGTTGTGCTGTGATGGAAGTTTTCAGGTGGGGGGAGTGTGCTATGACTCAGTGACTGGTCCAGGGTGAGAGGACACCCATGCTCTACAGTCAGTTGCATTCTAGAATACCATTCTGTCTGTTCCAAGTTCTCTCAGAACAGAAGTTGTGTCCAACATTTCAGTCTTTTGGCAGTGTAAGGAGGAAATTAATACAATGGAGCACAGGTGGTGTTTCTTTATGGCATCTGGTGGGTGTGTGTCAGACGTTGAGGCTTTGCTCTCAACTTCAGCAGTGGGTCGACAGTTCAAACGCTAGAGGCTCTTCGCATCTGTGCTTAGAAGGCATATCGCAGAACCATAATGATTCATTTCGAAGGGACAACAAGGACAAACAAACAGAGACATCTGTAAACAGTCAGAGGCAGCAAAAGGACTGGGCTTGTCATGTTATCTTTTTGTTGGTTTTACATCAGGAGGAAGATTCCTTTCAAATGCATCAACACACATCATGGCATCTCTGTGCAGTCTTTAGAGAGCATCTCTTCTCAATACTCAGTGTGTTTCAAATCACCTTCAAAGCATCCTACAGAACTTTGTTTGAAAATGGCACTTCGCCATCAAAATGGTGGTGTGTTACATTAGTAAGGCCAAAACTACAGAGGACAAATAAATAAATAAAACAAGGCAATAAAAAAGACTAAATACAGCAGCAGTATCTATGTCAAGGAAAGGAATTAAAAATGAAATAAATTAAATAAAATCTGTGGTTTGTCAAATATGGCAGGCAAAAGCAACAAAAACGGGGGAGTAGGGAGGGGGGGTGTTAAAGGCCATACCCTGTCCCTCCCACCCTCTCCCCAGTGTGTGGTGAGGCCGTGAGGCTAGCGGTTAAGGGTCAGGGGTCAGGGTTCTAAGGGCAAACATGGAGTGTCAGGACTCTTTGCTTCCCTGAGGTATTTCTTTGTAGTTGGTTTCTCCCGTGGGTGTTGTCGTGGTGACAGCTGTGGGTTCCGCGGCGGAGGCAGACTCTGGTTCTGACTGGGTGACGGCGGGCGTTGGCATGGTGATAGAGGCAGGGCTGCTAGGTTCCTGCTCCTCAGGGCTAGAGGACCCCTCCTGCTGTACTAACCCACCCCAGCTGGCCTTGTTCAGCCCCAGGTGGCCCAGCATGGTCTGGGACAGACGTGTGTCAGAGAACCGTCCCCACTCAGCAAATAGAGGCTCCACCACGTACGTCATGAAACCTGGGGGAAGGAAGACAGGAACATGGAAACACACAGGGTTATAGAGGCAGGCCTAAGAGAGCTTCTGGTTTATATCAATGTACTGTAGCTAGTACTAAACTAGAAATCGTCATAAAAACGTACCAATCTGAATGTTTCCCATAGAGTTACTCTGGCTATCACACAGTGGACTGACTTCAAGTTTGTGCTTCTTCTCAATGTCTCCTACAGAGGGATAGACAACACACACTGATCAGAAATCAGAGGGATAGACAACACACACTGATCAGAAATCAGAGGGATAGACAACACACACTGATCAGAAATCAGAGGGATCGACAACACACACTGATCAGAAATCAGAGGGATCGACAACACACACTGATCAGAAATCAGAGGGATCGACAACACACACTGATCAGAAATCAGAGGGATCGACAACACACTGATCAGAAATCAGAGGGGTCGACAAACACCCACCGATCAGAAATCAGAGGGATCGACAACACACACTGATCAGAATCAGAGGGATCGACAACACACCAATGATCAGAAATCAGAGGGATAGGTGGTGAAGAGAAAAATTAGGAAGATTAAGAAGAGGGAGAGCGCGTTGCGAGTGAGAACATACAGAAAGAGAGACTCTAAGGGGAGGAGGAGGAGAGTGAGAAAACCATACAGACAAGGAGATAAGAGGAGAGGGAGAGTGAGAACCTACAGACCAAGAGGACTATGAGGAGAGGGAGAGTTGAGAAACCATACGAACGAGAGGACTAAGAGGAGAGGGAGAGGGAGAACCATTACAGAACAAGAAGAGGAGACTAAGAGGAGAGGGAGAGTGAGAACCATACAGGAACGATGGAGAGGACTAAAGGGGAGAGGGGAGGGAGACGGACCTCATTATTTTTTTTACTAGTTATTACAAGAGACTAAGGGGAGAGGGAGAGGAGAACCATACAGAAAGAGAGAGGAGGACAGAGGAGAGGGAGAGTGAGGGGAGATGAGAGAAACCATACAGAACGAGAGGACTATGAGGACGAGGGAGAGGGAGAAACCAGAGAACAATAACAGAACGAGAGGACTAAGGGGGGAGAGGGAGGAGTGAGAAACCATTAACAGAAAAAGAGAACCTAAGAGGCGAGGGGGAGGAGAACCCTACAGAAACAAGAGGGACTATGCAGGAGAGGGAGAGTGCGAAAACACTACAGAAAGAGAGACTAAGAGGGAGACGAGGTGAGAACCAGACAGACGAGAGACTAAGAGGAGGGGACGAGGGAGAGAAAGAAACAATACAGACGAGAGAACTAAGAGGAGAGGGAGAGAGAGGGAGGAACCATACAGAACGAGGGAGAGATAAGAGGAGAGGGGAGAGGGAGAACATTACCGAACGAGGGAGACTAAGAGGAGAGGGAGCGAAGAAACATACAGAAACGAGAGGGAGACTAAGGGAAGAGGGAGAGTGAGAACAATACAAGAACGACAGACTAAGGGGGAGAGAGAGGGAGAGAGAACCATAACGAACGAGAGGACTAAGGGGAGAGGGAGAGGGAGAACCGGAGAACCATACAGAACAAGAGACTAGAGGAGAGGGGAGAGGGGAACCATTACAGAACAAGAGCTAAGGGGAGAGGGGAGAGGGAGAACCATACAGAACAAGAGAACTAAGAAGGAGAGAGGGAGAAACCTACGAACGAGAGACTAAGGGGAGAGGGAGGGGAGAACATACAGAAGAGAGACTAAAGGGGAGAGGGAGGAGAAACCATTACAGAACGAGAGAGACTAAGGGGAGAGGGAGGGAGAGGGAGAGAGGGAGAACCCATACAGAACAAGAGACTAAGAGGAGAGGGGAGAGTGGAAACCATAAAGACGACGCGGACTATGGGGAGAGGGAGAGAAGTGAGAACCATACAGAAACGAAAGAGGGACTAGGGGAGAGGGAGAGTGAGAACCATCAGAACGAAAGAGAGACTATGCGGAGGAGGGAGAGGGAGAAACCATTACAGAACGAGGGACTAAGGGGGAGAGGGAGGAGTTGAGAACAATTAAGAACGAGGAGAATATGAGGACGAGGGAGAGGGAGAGAGAAGAACCATACAGGAACGAGAGGAGACTAAGAGGAGAGGGAGGAGTGGAGAACCATACAGAACGAGCGACTAAGGGAGAGGGAGAGTGAGAACCATACAGAACAGAGACTACGGGGAGAGGGAGAACCCAGCAGAACGAGCGACTAAGAGGAGAGGGAGAGTGAGAACCATACAGAAACGAGGAGGACTAAGGGAGGGGAGAGAAGAACCTAAAGAACGAGGAGATGAGGAGGAGGGAGGGGGAGAGTGAGGAACCATACGAACGAGAGGACTATGAAGAGAGGGAGAGGGAGAACCATACGAAACGAGAGGGGACTAAGGGGAGAGGGACAACCATACAGAACGAGAGGACTATGAGTGAGAGGGAGAGTGGAAACCATACAAGAACAGAGACTAAGAGGAGAGGGAGAGTGAGAGACCATACGAAACGAGGAGGATATGAGGAGCGGGAGAGTGGGAACATACCGAACAGAGACTAAGAGGAGAGGTGAGGGGGAGGAGTGAAACTCAGAACGCGAGACCTAAGAGGAGAGGGAGAGGGAGAGAGAAAGACAGAACCCATACATGAACGAGGAGGATAAGAGGAGAGGCA